CCCGGGCACCCAGCTGAAGAGACATCCAAGTTCTTTTTAATGAAGGGCCATTAATGCAGCCAACCACTCACTCTGGCAATGAGTCGGCACTGGGAGTCCTTGATTCAATGTGGACAAAACCCATCCCCCAGAGCTCAAGAAGGAAACTGGAGGTTGCCCGGCAGAACTGTTGGAAGGACAGGCCTCTCCATCACACTGCTCCCCCTCCAGCTACCCGTGCGCCATGGCAAACGGTGGAGGGATCGGAGTATTCAGATTGTACCGATGTCTTGATGTAAACAGAGGGTGACAGAAATCCTTTTAAATCTCCTGTGTGAAAATGAAATGGATTTTTGAAATCATTTTTTATCATTTGGTTGTAGTGCTAAATAAATGATCTATTTCCCACATGAATACGTTCTGTACAGATCCTATTTTTGTCACTCGAGTACTACAGATGACCGGGCAAAGCGATCAGAATGTGGCCTCGGATTGTGTTTGACAGTGATACCCAAATACATCCATGTTTTCCCATCTGCGCTTTTGTTGGTGCGGTGCTCAGAAGTGGAATGTGCTGTGTCCTAGGAAGGTGAATCTGCCCTGGCCACCATCCATCGCCAAGGCCCCCCGGAAACCGTTCAGAGCGAGGACAGCGTGGCCTTTCATTTTGGGCATCATTCTGTTCACAGAGAGCTTTGTGTTAAAGCTTTGTGGGTCCTCAGGTTGCTGCCAATTTTTTTCCCCCTCATCTTCAAAGAAAATTGTTCAGGGACCACATGCCAGGAATATGTGGGTGTGTACGTGCAGAATTTTATTCTGTTTCAGATTTTGGAAATGTTAGAGACTGTCAGAGGTAGCCTTTGAAACAACGATCTTCAATGACAAGTTTATCTTTAAACCGATCAGTTACCGTCTTTCCCCCCAAACAGCCTTTGAGTTAGTATTTGGTCCCTTGAAAGAGGTGGATTTTTCAAACTGAAGTCATAAAATGGGCTCAAACACCAGATCCCTTTAAAGGCTCTTCCCAGGTACTTGTGACCTGAATCATATCTGCTGTACTCAGGTTTCTCTGGGACAACCTAGGCCCCTCCCGGAGGAGAGGGGCAAGGCTCGCTCTCCTCCAGAGCTCCCTCCTGCTCTCTTCGGCCTGCGATCCGGCCAGCTCCAGGTCCAGCCCTTGGTTCTCTTTCGAGCTGTCCGCGCTCACTGCCACCGTGTGCTGCTGCGTCTATTCCAACTCGAAGAGACCCGACAGGACAGTAGAACTGCTCCGAGAGGGGTTCCTAGGCTATACTCTATTTTGTTTTCCTTTCTCTTTTTAAGATCATTTTATGAAGAAAAAAAATCATTTTATGGGGGGCTCTTAAAACACTCCATACATCGATTGTATCACGCATATTTGTACCTCTCTTGCCATCATCATTTTCTAAACATCGACTTTCTATTTGAGCCCTTGGTATCAGCTCCTCCTCTTACCCGCCCACCCTTGATAAATTATAAATTATTATTGTTTTCTCATTTTACACCGACTGCTGTCTCCCTTCACTTACGTTTCTGTTGTTCTGGCTGTGTTTGCCCCCAACTGAACGCTTGACTTCTCCAGGAGTCACAGCTCAGAGAAAGGACATTTCATTGTACTTAAAACATCTTTCTCTCTCTCTCTCTTGGCCTTTCACTTGATTTTCTGCCCTTTCCCTCTGGTGCACACGAGCAGATTTTCTGGATGTCTAAATGAGTTTCGAAGGAGCCTGGCTTTCTACACCAACATTATTATTAACAAGTGTCAGCACAGCTCTGAAAATAGTGCCTGAGCGCTAGTGTTTCAGAATCCATAAAAGGAGCACACGGAGCCAGCTACTCCTCGCAAACAGTTCCCACTCGTGGCTAATGAAGGAGGAAAGAAAGACAATTGTAAGCCAAAGCTTCAGACCTGGATGACTGTTTCTGTCCCCTGGCACTCCTGAGACAGCAGCTTTTCGGGTGCCCGTGTGATGTGTGTGTGTGTCTCCCTTTGTGTGTGTTGGGCTGCGATCCACAAGGTCAGCAGTTCGAAACCACTAAGCCCCTTGGGAGAAAGATGAGGCTTTCCATTCCTGCAAAGAGTTATAGTCTTGGAATCCTACAGGGTAGGGGGTGCAGTTCTACCCTGTCCTATAGGATTGCCCTGAGTTGGCATCGACTCGTTGGGAGTGAGTGAGAACAAGTGAGAGTCCCCATGCGGAGCAGAAAATGAAGCACTTGACTAATAAGAGAGAGGTTAGGGGTTCAAACCCACTCAGGGGTGCCTGGAAAGACAGGCCTGGGAATCTGTTTCCAGAAGGCCACAGCCTTGAAACCCTAGCGAGTAGTTAGGTCTCCTGGGCACACAGGGCAGCCCGCACGAGGTAAGGAGTACATGAGATTGAGGGCAGCGAACGGGGCATCTGGGAGAAAGGTGGTATGGTTTACTAAAGAAAATGCTTGCTTTCTCTAGTGAAGAAGCCTGTGTTAAAAGCTGCCGTCGCCAGACTTGCTGGGAGGAAGAGATGGCAAACTGTTGCTTCCAGAAAGTAGCCTTTTCTTTTTTTTTAATCTTCATTGTTTTTGAAAATACAAACAGAGCAGAGCATACAGCGATCCAACATTTCCTACATGTACAATTTTGGGACACAAAGAGTATCCTTATCTTAATGGAGCAAAGAGGGCTTGGCACTTGGCTATCTCTGGTTCAAGAGCAGAACATTTTTAAAATCGGTTTCAAAGGACACTGTCATTCACTAACTTAGCATTTCATGTCCACTCTTGTGTATCCCAGGCTCCAGGGCAAATGTGGCTGAATAGTTTCTTTTCAAATAACTGAGCAGCCCGGGAAATCTCTGAGGTTTTGAGGCAGCTCTGACCTTGGTCAACATCTCCAAGGAATCTTTCTGACTGAATTTCTAGATTGTGTTCAAGTTTAGGGAGGAGATAGAGAAGTCACCTTATAGTGAGGTACTCTGCATTCGCATCTGACCAGTAAAAATCAAACTCGCCAATTGTAAGACATTTTTCAAAGAAATCAATAAAAATGGAAACCCTCGTTCCACTCCATCTTCTTTTTTTTTTAAATCAATTTATTGGGGCTCATACAATTCATCACAATACATAGATCAATTGTGTGAAGCACATCTATACATTTGTTGCCCTCATCATTACCAACTCCATCTTCTTTTAATGCTTCCTACACCGTTCCATAATTTGCCCATAGAATCTTTCAATCTCACAACTTGAGGTTTGCGCTTTTTTATCCTGTTCTTTCCATTTAAGATATGCTGGACACATACTTCCTTTTATTGGTTGTCCAACTCAAGGTCCTTGCACATTTCCATATGCTATTTTACTTTTGTCTTCTCGAGCTGTCCTTCAAAATGTTCTGTTCAGCTCTTTGACTTCATCATTTCTCATGGAAGCAGCAGTCAAGGGATCAAATGGCTCACTGCACAAGACCTAAGAGCAAGGAAGTCACTGAGGAGAAAGGGCGCCTGACCCAAGCCAGGGTATTTCAATCACCCCATAGGTATGTGAAAGTTGGACATGCAGAAAGAAGACCGATGAAGAGCCAATGCCTCTGAATTGTGGTGCTGGAGATGAATATTGAAAGTGCCATGGAAAATGCCAAAAGGACAAACAAGCCTGTTGGAAGATGGATAGCCAGATGGCTCCCTAATCAGAGGCAAGGATGGCAAGACTTCGTCTTATATACTTTGGACATGTTGTCAGGAGAGATCAATCCCTGCAGAAGGACTTCATACTTGGTAAAATATAGGGTAAGGTGACCAGACGTCCCGCTTTTGGCAGGACAGTCCCGATTTTTAACAATTTTTCCCACGTCCCGCAGCATTTTTAAAAAGTCCCGATTTTTGGAAAGAATGCACGACAAGCTAGGATATACGGTTTTTGGCTGCCAGGTGGCTGTTTCGCTAAGATGTGAGTTTTAACAATGGAGTCCTGCTTTACCAATGTTAAAATCTGGTCACCTTAGTATAGGGGCAACAACAACCAAAAAAGGACGGCCGTCAGCGAGATGGATTGACACAGTGGCTGCAACAGTGGGCTCAAACAAGAACAATTGAGGATGGCCCAGGACGGGTAGTGTTTTGGCCTGTTGTACACAAGGTCGCTATGAATTGGAACACCTAACAACAAAACATTGCACTTGGAAAACAATGTCATCCTCACTGAGCATTATGATTAAAAGGCTTCCCATCCCATGAGGGGTGGGGGTAATGTGTCTGAGTCTTTGCGGAAGCCCCTGTGGGAAGAGTGATGTGTGTAGTAGAGTTAAATGGAAGTAGATGTGTGGCCTGCTTAATGACACTTCAAGCCTACCCACCTCCTCAATGTCACTCTGCCCAATGCCTCTGAGAAGCAGAGCCCCTGGGGAGTGGGGTGGAGCCATATTGCAGGACCAGTTCCAGAGGGGAGAGGCTTTATCTTACAGCCTCTTGGATGGCCATGGATGCTGACACGTCCAAGAATGAGAGCAAACATTGGCTGAGCTGTTCAGCAGCATTCCTGTGGCAACTCGCCTAGGGATGTCACCCCTGCCCCCTCCTAGAAGTGAAATATATGAATGGATGGCAGATTGGTGTCTGCCAGGACCCCCACTCATGTCATGCCTGATGTTGCCTATAAAGCTTTACGGGAACAGAGAGCCTCATTCATCTCCCCTGGAGCAGCTCTGGGTTTGAACCACCAACCTTGCGGTTAGCAGCCTCACGCTTACCTGACAGCAGCACCTGGGCTCCCTGTTAGTAATCATTGCTCCCATTTGTTGAAAGTTAACGGTGCCTGGCTATCATTATTTCATTTAATTGTCACAATGACCCTAAGAGGTAAATTATT